TGCTGCCAGATAACAGGGGTTAGAAATTAAGTACTTCTTTAAACGCACAGCACTGACTATTTGTCATGTATTCGTGACTTAATAAAAGGTATGTTCCATAGCAATTGTCGCCGTCAAAGTAGCTCCTAAGAACAAGAGCCAGATTCAGGATAATAAAAAAAAAATGGCCGAGAACAATTTCCGCTAATCTAATAACGTCCTGTTTACTGTCTTGTAACTCCAGAACGATGAATACTTCAGAAATAGCCGTTCATTTCTCTATTATTATAATACATCTTTTTGTGATCGTCCTATAATCTCCAATAGTTACCTGCACGAACAGTTCCAGCTAGTGAGATAGAAAGCCTTTTAATGTTTAAACGAAAGTTTTTTCGAACTTCTAACGCATCGGAAGTCCACAATAAGTTCTAAAGAAACAATTAATCTATCATACGTATGTACCAAGACAAACAATTATTTAAGCTGTTAAATTAAGCAAGCCAAGTATTCTGGGTAGATCTAGCGCACCAATTTGAAAGTTTTGGTTGTTAGAAACGTCTCTGCCGAACTCTGCATGAGCAATTCTAAGGACAGAGAATAGATAAAATAAGCAAAATTGCCGGCTAAATATTCTGTGTTTATTCGCAGTTCATTCTAGTTCAGCCTTAAGGATTATATGTGCAGAATCGTCACTTCATCACTCATCATTTAAGATAAGTAAATGCTGACCTGATGATTTTAGCTTTTACATTTTCATGTACTAATTCAAAGGGGTAGTTCCCTGTTTCCACTAAAAACAGCTCGCAAAAACAGTTGGCATATTAACGTGATCGATAGATTTCCATCGAATATGCTGGAGTACCGGTTGGAAATATTGGCGTTGACCGCCTAAAGTGACCTGAATAAGATTAAACCTCGCGTAAGTTACACAGTAACTTGATTCTCTAATATTTTCTGTATTTGCAGAAAAGGGACATGCGTAATTCAATTACTGTATTTATACGTAAAGATAAATTTAAAACTTGTACAATAAATAATTGGCTTTTTTACCTTTGATATTTGTTGCTACAAACGTGCATTTCAGAGTATATAAAAGAAAATAACTTAGAACCACCGTAATACCCATCAATTTCTTTTAGCTTCCAGACGAGCTCTTAAAAAATGATTAATGTTTATTTACCATATAATTTCTCGGCAAGTCTATCCGATCAAAGATACTCTGTGCTGTCAATGGGTATGATTACAGTATAGAAGTCAATATGAAATTAAAGTAAGGATCGAATTGATAATAGTCTGGCCCTTGGCACATATGCACATATTTTATGAACAAAATAAGCCTTTTCTTATCAAAAGCAAGCATTGTCTTGAAATGTTATTTTTCCAAGTTTTCATATTTTATGGCTTATTCAACTTCAGGTAAAAAATATTTAGACATCGTGAACGATTTGGCCTATGATAGCTAAAATACTATAGGATACACCCAAGAAGCTTCCTCCCTTCAACCCTACATACAGAAATATGATTCATAAGGTCTGCCCCTAAGCCATCTCATGTTGTTTTTAAGCTAACTATCAGCTGGCTACCGAGGTACGGTCCATTGTGTGTAAGCTCCTCGGATAATGTGCATTTTTAGGAAGGTCATTAAGCCTCCTTAGGCATGTTAAATACCAATATAACCAATTTCATCCCGTGCATCCCAACATCCCGAAAATATTCGGTATTTACAGGGGGCTTATGAGCGAACGGCCGCCACCTCGAGAACGTGCTGATCGACCTCAAGAGAGCACCCATGCACTTAGTCCCCGAATTACAAGGTTAAACGACAGTGTTGTAACTTATATCCTCTGCATTAGGCACAGCCGAATACGCGCGCAGACAATCCTGGGTACACCTTAGACGACATGACCGCGGGATTCACGTCAGCCCAGGCGTAGCATTAGCAAAACCAACAACAAACACAAGCCAGCGGTGTAGGTGTCGCATTGGATCGACATTCGGCGAAGTGTCCGTCAGTGCACGAAAAAGGCCGTATTCCTCATCGCAACCATCTCGGCCATAAGACGCGCAACTAGGAAGTGCACGATATATAACGAGTGCACGAAAGGCAATATCTGTATATGCTGTTCGAAGTGTAATAGAGTAGTACATGTGGCCCCATAGGCAAATGGGGTATGCCCATTGCCAACATCAGAATGGTCAACAAAAAAGTGAAATGTTTAAATAGGTGTGCGCTGGAGTATAAGTCAATGGGTCTTGTGATGTTTCTGTGTCGCGTCTGTGCGCCGTCTTGCGATAAACACGAATGCCCGAGGCCGCCTCTGTTGAAGTATCTCCATTTTTAGCTGACCTTATGTCGTGCCTAATGGAGAATGACGCCATACATGGCCAATGACTAAATCTCGTAGCAACCTGTGTTTGGTTGAACGATTCGAAATTAGCATAACTACTAGTTGAGAGGCTTATCAGTCGATTGGAAACTCTCTCATTCTGTTTCTCCATTGGTCATTGCCGACAATTTGAACGCCCGCGTCGACCAGCAGAACTCGAGCCACGCTACAGTCCTTCACGACTTACTTGACTTTCGTTGCTGGGCAGTCAATCTCACCTCCACGCGGACCTTATTAGGACATACAAAAAGTTGGGTTATCGATCTATTTTCGACAAACGTGATCAGATACTACAAATAGAAGTTTTCTAGGTAAAAATAATTGTTTGCCGGAATAGACAAGCATTTGTGCTTACGTACTGACGGCGATAGATTTACCTGTCCGGGAGTACCCACGAAGTTCTCTTTATACCTGACGTAGCGTATACCGGTTGAAATACTTCAGCTTGTGCGTTCCTCCAGGTCTATAGGCTTTTGTTCGACAGTATATGTAGCCTTGCCCGAAAATCTCAAAATGGCTTTCAGGCTTATGATCGAGACACAGTCTGAGTTCTATCCTTTATGTTCCGTTTTTGAGACGGTGTATCTTGAAACATATGCGTCACAAAGGTAACAATACCTTAAGCGGCTGGTAATACGTTTGGCTGCAGAGGAAGATTAGTAACTACACAAATGACTAATACATTATTGCAGCTCGGCCTGATTAGTAACTTGGTCTTCGTAAATTTTTTCTCGGAAATATTTCAGTCAAGGGATCAGGTACCATGCGCATAGCCCTTTTTGCTGCGTCGTGTGAAGGGGGGATCTCAATACAGCACGATATCCTTTGATGAGAGTTATAATGCGGGAACTAACGCAGAGTAACAATAAAGCCGCCGGTCCATATAGGTTTTGCAACAAGCATCTCAGATGCGTCGTCGTGCTGGACAGCATTATTTAATAAATGTCTATATACTGATAAGTCACCGTTTAGTGGACAGATGCTACCCTAATAGTAACCTCTAAAAGAAAGGGCGATCCAATTTCATTCATCATTATCATGGCGGGGAAGAGCGAAGGAGAACGTTTGGTATAAACTACTGGCTAAGAGATTTTACAGCTACTTCCGGAGAGAAGTTTCCACAATGGGGTATACAGTGTTCTATACGATGTTCGTCGACCCCAAGGCACCCTTCAATTGATCGCGCAGGAACAAGGTTATATTCACGCTGGCCGAAGTGGTGCTTAATCTTCCCGCTGTGATTCTACAAAAGGACAGAATAATCGTCGACGACGCAGTGGCCGAATTTCCGCCTTTTGTACAGACATATGATCAGGGTAAAACAGGCAACCTAAGTCCACTTTCTCTCACTATATTGCTGAAGACCTCTCTGACAAAATAAATTAGCCGAAAAAATAAGCCGAGGCCGTGTTGTAGGCAGACGGCTTATATGCGGGGCGAGAAAGTTCCAAGTGTAGCAAACTCTAACCCGGCTCCATACGGCAATCACAGATTTAAGACTAACCATAAACTTGACCAAGATGCAGGTGCTAAATTTCAGAGGAGGCAAGACAGCGGACACTGACATCCCGGTTCGGTATTCGTACTTGGCGTTGTTCTTGTCAGAGAACTGCATTAGGTTCATCGCGCTTGTCACCGAAGTACGCAAGAAAGCAGGTTGGCCGCATCGGCAATTAAGTCACCTCATCGCTTGCCTTTCGCAACTGTTCTGAGTTTGTTCGACCTCGAGTTGCAATGTATGAACAGAGAGATTTCACAGTAAACGACCTCGAATAATTAAATCACTTCAAAGTTTTCTTCCTCAAAAAAGCACTAGGGTTATACCTAAGATCGTCTTGTGTATCCTGTAACCGACTCGTTACTGCTATTCGCGAACCTACATTGCCGCTTCGAGCACCAAAAGACTGAAAACAAGGAGCATAAGATTGTGGAGATTGATAGGGATCTCTTTGCTTCAAGTTAGATGAGGAACGACAAACGAGCAGAGAAGGACAAAACAAGGTAAGTAAACAGGTCATCAGTCTTCTAGCCGTGTATAAATTCCGTCGTAAGGTCTGCATAATTGCCAGGTCTCCATGAGCCTGACGATACATGTAGGTGCTTCAAATGCGAAGAAAATTATTATCGACATCATGTCGCTTGCCGCCACCCAATGCCATTTTTAGGATATTTAACAAATGTTTCAACTTGGTTTTGTAAACTCAACAAGGTTCGTGTAACCTATGTGCTATGGATGGTTTTATATACTCTTTCTGATATTAGGATATTGCGTCGCTGTCCTTTTAGGTTTTGACCCCTATTAGCAAATGTAAATAAATAAAGTTCGCGTAATCACCAGGTAGTCTGAACAATAAAATTACGATACTATTGTTTGTTATACACATCTAGAATATCACTTATGTCTCTCTCTCTCTCTCATTGTATTTGTCAAGGGGTAGTCCAGACTGGTTGGCAAAAATAGTTCCCGCTTACTTAAACAATCAAGTGCAAATCTAAATTTTTAAGAAACACCTATTCCTAAAGAAAGACGCATTTCTGACAAGAATAGTATGATTCGTAATTTATTTCTTTATTATCATTATTATTATGGTTCTTTATTTGTTGGCAACGTTTTCATATTTATATATACAGTACAAATACAAAGTTGTTACACTCAGAATCGGCTATAAATTAAACACATAGTATTGTCTCGTAGTTGTTATCTTCACTACTATTATTACTTGTTAGTGTTATTATTTTTTTAATATTTTTTATAAATAATAATTGTGTGGCATCCAAGAAAATGTGTTATCTACCACAACTGGCAAAGGATTACCCTAGTATTAATTAGGTTTTATCACTTATTCACTAACTTCAGTATTACTATTATGTTTATTGTTATTACTCGTTCTGACCATAATCTTCTTCTGATGGAAAAGGTACTAACATTAGCACCGAGCGTCGCAGCTTTAAACGTACACGGTGCTCTGCCTTGTCTTCGATTTGAGAAGATCTTTCGCCCTGGACCAGAGTCACAAAGTTTGAATAATTAGTAGTAACGGTACGTGTGCATTACTGTCACTTTTTCGCATCAGGACATCATCGTTGACAGGTAAGACTAATCATAAAAAGCTAATCAAAGCGGCTCAAATTATAAGTACGTATTCTACTATATATCAAATGCCATACACATGTACCGTTGTTAAAGACGACAGACCGATTTAACTGCTGGATTTGGTTGTACTATGCCACACGTGACTGTCGGTAACAGGCGTTATTTCGAAATTCGGAATAGTGGACATCTTTTTAAGCGGTTCGAATAAAATGATTAAGACCATATACTCTCTGAGCTGAACGCTTGTAATTCATGTACGATCGGATTATTTCGCATTCAGACTACTATTTAGCATTGACGGTTGCTAGTAATGACGTATTCCAAGAATTTAACTTCTGCAAGTGTTCTTTTAGCATCTTCCTCTAAATATCTATTTTATATTTTTTACTGCTAACGCTTGATAACTGTCTCAGTCGTTTTGAAGCCGAAATGTGACCAATGCTATTGTATAATTCGGAGTTCCTGCTTGAGCCATAGCTTTCGTTGACTCCGCGTCGACGGTGACGCAAGAGTATCATTTTGTCTTTGCTTTCTCTAGATGTTGAGTTTTCTTTTTTTTTCCCCCTTATCTATCCGTGTCGATGACTTAATTGTTTTCTTGTGCTTTTTTCGAATTGGTCCTTGAGATGTTCATACTGCTACACGTACTCGCCATCTTAGCCGACATGTGACATCGCTGCAATCCCTGCTAGTCTATTTGTTTGTGCTGCTAAGAGTGTTACTGATGCTGCTGAACTTCTGATAAGCGTGTCCGATCAGTTGTCGAAAACCTCAAACAAAAACGCTCCCATAGAGGTAACCAATGTATTCGACATTGACTTAAATTTCATTCGAACTGGTTGATTCATTCCTGCCACAGAACATACTGAAAGTAATTGAACTAGAAAACGTTTCGTGCCCATCCTGGTGCCGCATTATTACTATTCGGACTAAGCGGACAAGTGTCGACCTATTAGGCTATATACAAAGACCGCAACGCTTTTCTAATACCTTCCGTCCTGTCTTGTATCTATGTGATACAATGCGACAACGATGACTACGAAGACGATACGTTTTGCGGATAATACTTACATAAACAGAGCGGTTCCGTTTCATCTTATACAAGCAGTCTTGGTACCAAGAGAAGTTCTTAAGCTACTAGTGACGACCGGCCGTCTGCCCGCCTGCAAAGTGTGTCGTCTACAATCTCATTCAACCAGTCGCTGCGACCTTTTGTTGTTCTATGGAACAGGTTACATCTGCAGGAAAATTTCATGCATGCAGTGAACGTACGTCATGGCCACTAAGGCCTGTATCATACCACGACCATCGTTAAGTTCTACACAGACTTTTTTTTCTCTTCGACACCATACGTACCGGCGTTGGCCCGACACTTAAACAATTGTCCGAACGTAATACTTCTTGTTATTTTTTCTAAATCGGCTCTGGTCTTGTATATGGATTTGTGTGTATGAACGACTCCATCTGATCTTAAATCGTTTAACTTGTGGAGGTCTTAGGTGGCTCGAGATTTTAGCTAGGATTTGAGTTATCATTAGCAAGCTTTAAAACTATACGTACAGGCATACGTCTACGTATTTTGAATTTATATACTGGCAGCATCTGTTCCGTGAGCCATATTCACAAATGATGATGACAATAATTACAGTACTCTCAACCATATGATTTCAATAGAATTTCTGTAAGCACAGCGTCTTATCCATGATCAAAATGGATTGGTTGACAGTCGACAGCAACAAAGTATTGCTATTTAAAAAGTTTCTATTTTACCTTTATTTTGTTAAATTCTGTTAACAAAGCCTTTGTTGTATCATTACGTTGTTCGTTGTTAAATGTGCAGTTTGCATTGATGCATTTCCGTGTTGCTGACGCGCACAACAATCACTCCAATTTACTAAGATGGCGTCCAATAAATAAATTCATTACCATTGCTAATCTCAGATAATCTTGAATGTGTACTATACGATTTGTCGTCTTATCTATATATCACATAGTCGGCGTCACGCTGAACGAGAATGACTTCGCCATTATCGAGGTTTGCCGGATTTCTATGGATCCGGAAACGGAACATTCGGTAGTAACTTGCGCAAACATGCTAACGCAGGCTTACCTTTATGCGCTATTCAGTCTTCTATCACTAGGGGTCTCATTTTTCGTATTTTCAATGGTACTGAAGTTCTAAGCGCAAATGTGTTTGACCAATCTTCGTTCCTTCACCGTGATCTGCAAGTCGCTTCTTGGCTCGCCACATGAACTCCTATTGAGCCTTATGCATCCTATAGGAAACAAAGGATTAGATTACTAACGTGTGGTCCAATGTCTGGTAACGATGGTGATTATTACCTGATTAGACCGAACGTCAGGACGCTGCTACACCTGCGGATACACAGGCAGCGTCCTGAATCATTCGGCGGAGGAAGTACGCCCTGGCGACGGATCCTCCTGGCAGTCACGCGAGCGCCGTAACCGCCTGATCTGGCGAATGTAATGAGGTGCGTGCGCAAAGATGCTTGTGCCCAGTTTGTGGTGAGTTGTGTAGATGACCATGATCTGAGTTGGCAAAGAGTTGCCTGCGTTCTCGGTGATCTTGCAGACTCCTCCTATTCAGTGGAATGGTATCGCTGCGTAACGATGTCATCGTTCGTTTCCGATCGGTATCGATGGCGGCGGTTGGCAGATACTTTGACCAGCATCCGGTCAGCCACATGCGTCGTAGGCCGCTACGAACCTCAGGCATACGGACCGTATAAATGATCGGGTCGCAGAGGCACTTGACAAAGATAAGGGAATTGGTCGCAATGCCAAATCCCGTTCGTGTCCGGACATCCAGTGAGTTAAGTGGACACGGACATTCGTCGCAGGTGAGTGCGTAAAACACGATGGCGGGCATATAACCAATCAGGTACGTACCGAGAATGAGCAATGTCGTGATTACCGCCTTGACATTACGTTTTATATGCAGCTGGTTTCCACCCACCTGATTTTTCTGCCCCATAAGAAAGCTGTTGTGATTGCGTTTAACGGTTATGAATATGTGGATATATAGAATAGTCATTATGACGAGTGGCGCAAAGAACAACGATGAAACAGTGACCCGATACGGTAGATGGGTCATAAATTCGTAGTTGCAATGTAAATGCCGAAAGTCATTTTCGGGGTGATTGAGTATGATGAGTGCGTATGTGACGAACGGTATCACCCACAGAGCAACAATGACTAACGTCAGTCGGCGGCGGGTAATTGTCGATGCATAATGAAGCGGCCGAAGGATGCCGACATAATGATTTATAGCTAATGCCAGAAGATGAAGCGCTGACGAGGTTAAACCTGTCATGCGAAACACTTCGAGAAGAAGTGCCCAACAGATATTTGGGGACCACTCGTAGACGACAGGCAAAAAACTGTTGACGGCCATTGATCCGGTGCACGTAATAACGGCATAGGCGTTTGCCGCTACCAAACTCAAAGAGAAGAACACTGTTGGTGTAATTTTCCTAATATATCGCGCAGAGAAGAGCACCAGCAGGTTGATAAACACCGAAGCCAGCATTCCTAAAGAAGAAATCACTACAAGCCATTGATAAAGTATCATTCGCACCTCAGCGAAGTTTGGATCTTCGATATCACCGTTACCTCGAACCAGCGTACAGTTGTTCAGTTGCAGATGTTCGAAGGCAACGGATGAAGATGAGTTGAGATCACAAGGCTCACTCGAGTTCAGGTCGCCGTCATCAATACCCTTGACGGAGTACGCTTTGAACACCGACGGCAATGTGCTGTCAGCCTGGACGAGGATGATTGCCGGAAGGCGATCGGCGAAATGCTCGGGTAACATCGTTAATAGCAGCAGTAGTGGGGTGGGGCCAGCGGAAAGTGTTGTAGAAAGGGTCGAATAAGGTACGTCAGGCATCCCGCAGTCGACGTCTAAACGGGACACAAAGGCCACCACCACATGATATCGAAAGAGTCGTTTGAACTGAAAGCATCCACAAACAGAGAAATGACAAGGCACGCAGTTCGTGTTAGATGACTCTTTCTAGCACATGTACTTCAAGTTCACCTGCACTCAGAAAACAAAAACAAACAAATTGTTTATCTTTTTCATAAAAACATTTTTAGTGAAAGATATTGGATGGCAAAAATTCATGGAAATATTTTTAAAAAGCCATCACGGATATCAACGTAACAGAAACTATCAATAGAGCATTTAGCTTGACTCGTTTTAATTTTAGATGGACCAATGCACTTCGTCACGCGCCTGTTTTGTTGTTAACCTATTAATTTGATTCACTGATATTACATTCAGACTCAGGATAATCAATCTCATCGTACCCGTTAGCGTTCTGCTACCAGTGGTCCCAGCCAACTTCGTCGTTATTTTTTTACTTTTAGTACATTTCCGTTATGTGAGTTTTTTAGTGCTGCTTAATTGAATTTTTCTTTAGAAACACACATCCCATTTTTGAATAGCGTGTGTAAATCAAGTCAGCTTTTTACCTTGCAGTACTAGTTTGTCTACATAATATATAGACAGGATGTTAAAAATGATTATCTAATTAGTATCGAAGTAATTTACTGAGCTATATGAAATATCTATATATATATATATCAAAATAGCATCCACGTTTGAGAAGGCTTTCAAAGAAAATTAATTTTGCAATATTTGTAATAATTTTCGCTACATTCTTAAACGTTCAACTGGGTAGCAGAATCACAGGAGGAGGAGGACTAATTTTTCACCCCCCTACCTATGTACCCTTGCGGATGCGCTTTCTGTTTATTAATCTGTGGCCTGAACCCACAAGCTAGGATCTATAGTATATACATAGCGCCTGTTTTTCGTCTTCGTCGTTTACCGGACAGCAGGCCCTCTTGCAGATCAGTTTCTAATGTATTTATATCAGAAGTAACTAGATGTAATAAATAGCTCGAACAATTAGTACAGCAATATACGATGCTATCTAATTAATCAGACCTATTTTTACTTGAGTTCATAATCTAGCACACGAATAAGGCAAGCGATTTGCCCAATCGATATCGTCGGTGCGCGATGATACCGCTGTAGCCACTGCTAGTGGTCGGGCTAAAATTGCTATTGTTGCCGATAGCTGAAATAGATAAATCATTGACCCAGACAGACTGGGTGCGGTGTAAACGGCGTAATATATGGACTGTGACACCTTCGTTATGTTGGTGGCCTGTTAAGGCGGCCAAGGACAACGATTCGTCTCTATACGACAGCGTTCGAGCCTCGGACTGTCTTCATTTCGTTAAATCGGACTCAGCAACGAAGCTAAATTTTTCATATGAGAGTCTCACACACGGCTAGTTCATATAAGCCGGCCTCTGGATATCTTTGTTGCGTAGGGCCAGTGGCCGCCCAGTGAAGCCATGTTGACATTACAGGTGACACCGGTGTATGCGGGAGGTCCTAGTGCTGTCCTGGCGTAGATATTCGTAAGCAGTATGCTATTCTCAACTCATAGGTCTATGCAATTGATTAATAGAACAGTGGCTAGTCATTTTGACTGTCGCATTGGTAAGATTCGCAGTTCTGCCTAGACTGCTAGCTATGACATACTACTTACCCTATTCTACCTTATTATTATTATGTACTCATATCCGTTGGGCTAGACGGACAATCTTTATATCGATACTGAACAACTATGCTTCAGGAAATAATAATAATTTCTATATATTTATATATAAAGCTAGCACGCTAGCAATAACGAGAGCCTGTTACCTCGAGACGAAGGTACAGCTTATGATCGCTTAATGAATCTGCACTAGGATTATTTTTGTGCAGTACAGATTTTATACATCATTTTTGTTATCTACTTTTTGTTAGGAGTATCCAGCCAACATCGGACTGCAGAGTATTGTGACCTTTTCGTGGCGTAAAGAGATCTGTTTCTATTTCAATCAAATATTGCTACTGCTTAGCATATATTTTTTGTTCGAATTTTACAACGTTAAATAACGCAACTTAACGGGAAGGACGCCTTAGTCCTTAGTTGCTCACAACGAATACAATTCTAATTAGATTCGATCGTACGGCTGATCCCTGAATATTGCAGATCCTTCTCAGGAAATGTCTACCAAAAAAGTGTGTGAACATCCAGCTTACTCGGTAGGTGACCTGATTAGTGATAGAATGTTTTATAAATGTTACGTACTGAATATGAAGTAGCATTTTTTCACGAAAATAGTTTTCGAAAATAAACTATTCGTCAGGCAGTGTCGATTATGGCTATGGGTTGAGAACGTAACGCACCCTACTAAAGCCGTAACGATTGGGGGGTGGATAATGGGGTTTGTCGTTACGAGTTCGATTTCGGTGTCGAAATCCTCATGTGTTAGCCCTCATTTGGCATGAGCTTGTAAAACATATATAAAACATTATTTCGACGAATGAATACTGCTTAACAGACGCATTAAAATACCTACGGCAATATATAGAGGCCACTCTAGAACCTGTGATGGTTCGAAGGTCTGTACCTGCTTTTGAAACAAACATTGGTCAGCAATAGCTCTGGATACCCTCTCCGTCATTTCGGAGACCGCTGTTCTTAAAAGGTTTTACTATGGGTAAGCAATTATGACCCGTACGAATTGACATAGCGGTATTCATTTCTCAGCAGTTGTAATCTGTCATTATTATATTCCAAAAAAAAACTGAGACTGTTTATGCTTCTGTTCACATTTTTCTAAAGGCGCATCAGTGACGAGTAACCATCGGTACATAATCATACAATCATCACAGGTAGATGCAATACATAGAAATCGACATTGGCTCCAATCAAGTTCCCCAGCAGATACGCATTTTAACAAATGATTACGTTCCTCATTTCACTGAGTTTTGGCCATACGGACGCATTCGTAGCGTCTGTACGATTTGGAATAGTGAAAACCGAAATGACTGCATACATAGGTTAAACGATTTGTCCTATTTGTCTATAACTTGTTTACGAAAAGCACTGAGATAATTAACGTACGCAATCTGAAGCGGGATACCTTACCTAAATATTTCGAGTTTTACATTCGATACGCGTTGCGTCAGACGGCTAGCTACCAGAACAGAACGAAGTGTAGTCCACGCTGGGATTCGAACCATAGATCACCGCACCTCAAGTCTAGCAGACACACACGGCCATCATGGAAACATTGACTCGACATGCCTAATGTGACCAAACAGGGTATGAAATCATCCCGAAAAATTATATCACTGTCTATGCATAATCGTGTTATAGTAACATGATGTTGTTAAATGCTGACTATAGACGATGTGTGTTGATATTTGCGTACAATGGCAAGCTGGTCCAAAAGATCCATTTTGTTTCAAACAACGTAAGTTTTCGATGTATATTAGGCCTCCGTGTAGCGCGTAGTATACTAGAATAACTTCTGAAGAAGCAAGCGTCTGATCTCGAAACGCGATTAACAATGCGTCTTGGACATGAGGAGTACTACGTGAACATTTGTTCTTCTAGGCAAAAACCATTTTTTCTTCCCCACAGTTCAGACACCCGTCGGAGGCTGCCGACGTCTCACATAACGACAGGAACAACATTGCGTTTTCCCCTTTGACGTTCGGCTAAAGTGTTCACCGCAGACGATAGGTGAGGATGTTCGAGCGGGGTGTGGAAATACAGCAAAAGACCAATTGGAAACTGGGTTTTTCCTATGGTCGTTTTCGAGTCGACAACCGCTGCCATCAAATACCACTGAGCTTTCACTTTAAAGTATCGAGACAGAAACAATTTTTTAATCGTTTTTCTTCGATGTGCGACTGTACAGTTCAGATTATGATGTAATATACGATATCTTACATCAATCGCCCTCTGAGAATACGTCAACAGTATAAGGAAGGAAAGCAGTTCCGTTGTTATGTTAGAAGTTATTTTCACTTACTCTGTTTATGGGAACCGTGTTCTTCCAATCAGAGGAGTAACCAACCAGCAGTTTTACTTTATGATGATTTTGCCTGTTGCAGAATAATATATAGATTATGTTAGAATAGTAAATACAGAGTGAAGTGAATCCAGCCTTATTCCGAGCCATAGAGGTTGTTGACGAAAAGCAACGTATGCTTTTGTTGTTCACGTGTTGTTTGTTGTATTGAAAAAATGCCATGCTGGGCGCACTCAACTTAACGAATCGAACTTTAAAAACATTCTGCGCCGTCATTGAATAGAAGTTATTGCTGGTAGAATTATTTTACGCTGTTACGTTTTCACAGTATGTGGAACAAGTGTCGTGGACCGCTTGTAAAAAAAAGCAAAATTAATTGCATCGAAGTCTCATAGGTCTTGTCCAGGCAAGTATCTACACTAGATATTCTGGCAAATAGATATTCTGGTAGTGATGTTGCCTGTGAAACAAGGAAATCTCATAGGATGTAAAACTCCGTATAATATGTGTATATATAGAGAATGAGCGGGACCAAGTACCGTGTTCATTCTGTTCAACTATTTCCTTGTTCCTTCAACTAGTTCGACCTGTATGTTAACCATTTTGGAAAGTCTGCGATTAGCGCGTACCTGATGAGGAGGATCATTAGAATTATCTATCGAACTACGTTTAGCTAGAATGATTCGAGGAAAATTGGACACCTCTAATTACCTTCTCTTGTCCGTGTGTAGCAATGGTTGGTCTCGGAATGGACGATATGATAATATGTTAATCGTCATTGCACAGTCAAGCAAGCCAGCAACTAGAAGATGCCCAAATGTAGCTGTCAGCAATTAGAATTGTCAATTGTCTACCGTCACATCGATCTAAATGCTTTGAATGGGAAGAACTGAATGCAAACGTACATAAAATGACCACGCAAGTTTGCCCAGAACCCACATATTCACCTCCTATACTTGATTTAAGAAACACTTCTATTTTGAGAGGTTATTGATATACGTATATTCTCCTAATAGGTTTCATTTATTTATTTATTTATTTTTTTCTTTTAACACAGAAAGCGTTTTCGGTCACAACTCTCGCAGGAACGCCGGGGTGAAACTGCAGACATTTCGAAATAGTGCTGAGATGTGGACAGTCTTGTTCTACTTTGTCTGTTAGCCGACAGATGCCAATCTAGAAAGGGCAGAAGTTCGCGGCCTAACTTTGCGGCTTACCGCACTGACGTAAAATAGAATACTGCTCCCTCCTCCAGGCGGGGGGCGCCCGTCATCATACAAGCTTAATATCCTTCCGCACCCATTAGCGAACTAATGCCTTTTTCGAACTTGGCTTACATTGTTTAATTGGAAACGTCTACCGATGATGCTAAGGCATCCGTCAGGAAGTTTCCGAATACCTGCCCCGCCTAGTCCTACCGCCTCCGTTCTAGACGAATAAATACCACACTCAACAGAAAGCTATGACTTAATATAGTATATAATTATTCTAACTACTTCTACTAACCTGTGAGACGGCTTTGTGACATTACTGGGTTAATTTTAACTTGGTATTCATCATACGCGAACATTTCCGTTGAACGTCTTTGCGTGCAAGTGCTTCGGGCAATTAGGAAGGAAATAATCGAAAATTTCTCAGGCACTGGTTGAGAAGCTGTGGCTCTATAAGCCGTATTCTATTAATTTTTTGGGGCATTGTTCATTAATAGATCATGTTATTGGCTTGCATGACACCGATTTGAAGTCTTTCCTTCCATTTCGGACAACAAAACATTCACTACGAGACATCATTAGCAACAAAAAGACATAAACAAATTACTAACCCACTTTTGATGCGTTTTTGCTGCATTTACTTGTTAATTAACAACTAGTAAGGTGATAGTAGAGCGGTAGAATAGCGGTTCAGTTGAGCTGTTGTCCTTAAAAGCGATTTGCGCCCGTATTTGCTAGAAGGCATCACCAACTTCGACAGCACGTCTCGTGATGGATCTACCGAAGGCTTTTGTGCTACCTTATGAGCAAAATAGAAAGTGCTGCGATAACCTACGCCAATTAAACGACCGCAGACCCCCGGAGTATACTGCAGAGTAGCTAGTGCTGGAGGGGCAGAAATTATATAAAAGGGGCGTCTAGCAGATGGTGTCAATGGCAGAGTAATGGCGTATTGCGACAGCCTTAGGTAATTTATGAGATAGGCCTTGATGGCTTATATGCACTATGTAAATTAGCCACCATAGGTTAAAATCTACAATAGAGAAAAATTCGAAAGTAGCTCCAACCTATTACGCGTAAATTGGGTGCATATAAACGCCAAGCATGCCACTTAAGTTTTTTAAAATCTTCCTTTTCCTAGAGGTTGTGCGTGACGATACTATTTTATCCTCACGTGGTGGGCCTACGTACGTTCGCTGTCTGTGTGATTCTTTCCGAGTATCTATTGGATGACAGTAAAAACGCGGATTGAATACCTACGTCCTCTGATTAACACCTAGGTCATGCGCGCTACTGTCACTGACCTGTTGGTTTCAGGCGCGAAGGTCAGAAACAGAGCGAGCGAAATGGTAGCATAACGGCTGCCTAATTCTACGACAGAGAGCCATAGCGAAACAGGCCGGCCTTAGGCTTACCTCGTTTGTGAGTGACCTGCAAGGTCAACTCGATTTTTCTGGTATTATTCCGCTTGACCGCGCAGCATTGCACTCTTGTAAATTGCGAAGGCTCACCTTCAATGAAAAAATCTGTTTTCGTACGGAAGTGGTTCCTGACCAAAATTTTAGGTAGGAACTTCTTGATATCTTAGTTTGTGAAAGTTTCTATGTTAATCTGAGAATTCTAGAAAAATATTTGTTGAATGACGAATCATTTTTAGTTTCACATCTTAATACCTTTGTGTGCCGATGCCTTAGATATATATATGTACGAGTCTCGTGTCGATGTATGTTTGTGGGCCAGAAAACGGCTAGCGGGATCTATATTTTTCCAATACACGCTTCTATGCTGATAGCTTGCTGAATTATGAACGTAGGACTATAGAAGCCCAGATTGAACGAGTCGTGTCGAAGCCCTTCAGATATACGTTGCCAGGCCAAGTCATTTTGCCGTTTCACTTTATTTTTCAATTATACACATAATAATCATCTCGTTCGTAGCAATTCAAATTAAACTGAGGATTAGTTTTATCAGAGATCTACTTTATAGGTATTGTCTTGTCTACGGTTTTGTTTAAAGTCAAGAGGCCGAATTTCTCCCGCCAGTCCCTGTTACGAAGGCCGCTCACTCAACATTCCAAAAATGATCTATATGGATAGTTGCTATCGTTTAAACCTAAAAAATAATTTCTATAACACCTGAATTCTATGTAATGAGCGAACCGACTAAGGGAAAAAGACGTTTTAAAAATTGCTATGCAAAATACGAACAGATTCCTGTATGCAAATCAAATCCAGACTACATTGCACCCCAAATCACAAAAAAACATTTGCAGGTTCAGTAAGCAATAATTTCCCCTCACTCAAATATGCAAAAAAAAACAGACAATCCTATCACCATAGGAAAGGCTCAAAATTCGTTTTCAATAAATTTAAATAAGAAAGACACAAAATAGAACATCTAATAGTAGTTTAATTATTGCGCGCGGCGGATCAGGAGGTCATTTATAATTCAGTAGATTTAATCTAGGGTTTCACTGCTGCAATAGCTTGCCTCCTGTGGTGTCTGTATGAGTTTTTATGATCTGTAAGGTTTTCTTTTGAAGAGACATTCTCATCGATTGTTTCTTCTTCGCCGCCAGATAAACACGGCAGCTACCCAATCGCGTATATAGAGTATCTAGCGAGAATTCGAAAAAAAAAAAAGCAAAGGTTAATAAGCACCCTAGTTTCCTGGTTTGGCAAAATATAATAAGCTGTGGAAACGTCTCTCTTATGTTGCAATGCACACCTAATTCAACCGATGTGCTTTTGTTCTTATTGCCCGTTTGTTTATTTTCCTTGCAACCTTTACAACCTAAGGCATAATTTCCGTCAATCATTTATGAAATGTTGCCTTTGCTAACGAAATGGTTACGAAGGGCTTCGAGCACACCCGCCCAACTTCAAAAATGACAGTAAGTTGATTAGCAATTAGATTTAAAGTCGCTACGACAACAAGCCGCCAGATTGTACCATCGTTCTTTTTCGATACTCTGAAGAGAATGGAAGGCTCTACGAACCTGAAGTATTGCAAGTGCAAGCATGAACATACGCCATCTGCCACATTTATCACACGTCCCGATTTCCTGAAAAAAAATCTAAACATCCTGAATGTATCTCTATTAGACAGGGTAACGCCTCAGTTCTTGGCACCGGACCTAAGCGAGCACGCAGTAACTTTTAACAGCCTCGCATACTTTGATATTTATCCAATATAATCCGAAGAACGCTTAGCTTTTTTAAAATTGGAGCAAACACTATAGAAGTTATTGTTACTACAGTGTCCAGCACCTCATTTGTAAAACTCTTACTTAATAGAAATCGGTCCGGAACATTATATCTAATTAAACTAGTTAACCAAGCAGCGAGTGTCGACACCTAGTCAGTTAAACGTACCAGGTAAACGATGCATACATCGTCTCTTATAATATGCGCTTGAGCGTTCAGTATATAATGTGAGATCTTCTTCTCATTCCGAATAAGTCTTCATTTCAAATTATTACCCGCCTACTTCGAGCATGAAGTTGGCAAGCGACTGATGCGCACAGAAGTTCCCAAGTCTCAATATAGCATTAGCGCCTTTACCAGTGGTAGACTAGTGCGTCTGCATGTTCTGGCACGCGTATATAATCACAGATCTCGCTCGGTATTATCGTTCTACGCCAGATTTATCACGCATCGCCCTGTAATGGGTGGCATTTTCATAAGGCACAAGGGTGCATTACATGAAAACGAAACAGCCTCCGGTAAAGACACAATTTGGTCGATATGATATTCCGTTTACGTGATATTATTATCATGACCGTACGTGTATATAATATGGCTGGTTTCTTAAGATGAGGCTGGCCACGAAGTTCGAAACGTTTGGAAAGATAACTAAATCAATGATTTGTCAATTACGACCGTCGAGCTACTTGGTTATCGTCGACGATCGACGCTGGACCATCGATTATAACTACGCTACGTTAAAGGCATAACTATTCAGGGCAATTATTTCGTCCTGCACGTTTAGATGACAGGATGCAACCATCTATTTGAGATTACTTGGTGCGGAAACTACGCATTATTTAAAACGTAGCTGATCCAGGGCAATGCCGTATAGATGTTTTGAACATGGCGAATGGATAGCATATTTAAAAATTTATCGGCCAGCGCTTTTAAAAAAATCCTCCGAATAACCCGTTCTTGGACAAAGCAGGGATTCGGGGATTACCGAACAGGACATTATAATTATATGTAATGATTTCAATCGACAAAGGTACCTATTTGAAATAGCTTTGCGCTTCTCGCTGCAAATGCCAGTTACTTTCGACTGCAAAAAGTCATACCTATTCATGTTATGACTGCAACACTGAGTTTAGAAACATGTGAGAGTCGCTCGAACGCCTGTTTGTCTTCTCTTTTTTTTATTTTTACTTTGCTAAGTAGGCCTTACATCCCATAGCATGAGCAAACATTTATTAGTCGGTGACCCTCTTGAACTCAGTAAAAATCGTTATCGTTTGTCCTAGTGGTCCTATAGTTTTGACCCAAGTCACCGACAACAAGGAAGCAAATCACGCGTCATGAAATTTAAACCTTCCATCCTTCTTTCGTGTTAGTAGAACACGTCTGCCGCGTGTTAAGTCGTTCATATGCCTTAGTCTCACCACAACGTTAGTGGAACGTTCGCTGCCAGAAAGCCTAACAGAACGACCTTAAAAGGCGATGCCAACTGCGAGTCATTATTTTGCGATAAAATGTTTCAGTTTAATGATTGCATCGAGTGCTTTGCATGGAACCAGTCACCCGGCAAAGAGTAAGTCTCCGAGGTCTGGTTGCCATGGAGCCTGATGTTGGTGCCGGGATTACACTCATCAAGCCGAAACCGCCCATTGAACCTGATGACAAAGACCCTTCCTTCTATTTGTCGAAAAGCTTTGAACGCCTCTCTGAAGGACTAACGTATTGCGCCTTTACTACCAGACATACGTAGATAGTGGACCCGCATTCTATCTGCCACCTACAGTGGCCAGCGAGGAATGGAGACGTATAAATGGAAGCAGTAGATTTAGATTCACTGCGTACGTGCACGACGCAAAGTTTCTGAGAAGCTCTGAAACACAGCTGTACATTTTCATATATAAACTTTGTAATCCTAACTGTTGTCAATATCATTCCGATTATCAGAGTGCGATCTGAACCTATAAATCAACTAGCAAATTCGATGTCTAGCTTTTCGTAAGCCTGTTTTTAGCACTGTATATATAATTATCATACATAACTGTAAGGGATGCAGCTTACGTGATACAAGTAGCTTTGACAGATCCGTTTCAGATAATTCGACTTAGATGCTTCAACGGCATGGAACAGCCTTGGTGCTCACGTAAGCAGTGTGCTGATTTAAACCCACTTTATTTCAAGTACATACCCATCAAGCGCTTGATTAGTTCGTCTCGATTAGGGACAAGCGGCTCTTCAAGTATTGCTTAATATAACTTGATATCTAGCTCGGTGCTTCAATGTGTTAAATATTTCAGCGAGATCTAAGAATGCTACAGAGATTCGATACTGGCCGAGTGCTGGCTCACGGACCATCGATGCTTCTTAGCCCATCTTGCCATTCATTGTAAAGACGTTACCAGGATGAAGTATTTTACAATAATTCCGTTTCATATAGCACAGTATTGGGTACTTCCCGTTTGCTTTCTTCGTTTTACTTGTTTACTTATATATTTTAGGCGCTTCTACTTACGGATGTCCATTATGATTTCATTGTACAATAAAGCAACCCTTATAAACATTTATAAATGAAAAAAAGTGCACTTTAATAACATTGACTCTATTTCGTTTCTATGGGAAAGTAGCATGAAATACCTAGGTCGTGTACAACAAGGCCTTTAGAACTGGGAGGACTGCTCTGCTAATTTGAATATGGCATTTTGGAGGATGTAGTCTGGCCCGGTCGGTCTACTGAGGTCGATGAAGGTCATTGGTTGAAGGCATTGTTGAAAAAAGACGACCTGCAGACAAATGGTGAAATACACTACAAATTAAACTGTAGCCATATAACAATATTTGGATCGATGGAATTTATTAAAAAATATTCGTTTGAATGCCTTATGAACACCACAGACACACACGGTTTCTGATTGCCCTTCAACATGTAGCCAGACACCAAACATCATGCAGCCGCATTAACAAATTTCTACACCTAATTGTCACCGGTGACGAAACCGAGATCCCCACGTCAATATAAAAGAGGATAACTGAGGAAGGTAAGCGGGACTGACAAGGACCTAAACACTGGGACATCGCTCAGACAGATAATCGTCTCTTCCAATTGCTGACAAATAAAATCAGGTTTTAAAAAAAAAGGACAAAAAAAAAGTTTGACGGTGCGGAGGATCCCTAGTTCCTCAACAGCAGAACTGTACATTTATGGCGAGAAAGAATCAATAAATCGACTGTCAAATAGGAGAAGGCCATGGAAGGCACGGTCAAAAATACGATAGATTAATTAAAGTAGAATTTGTATGAAATTTCAGGTTTCGTGCTAGGTTTGAAAAAAAAAAAAAGCCGAAATAACATAATAGGTTATCCGTGCATGCTGAGTAAACGGCACCCACTGCGCAACGATAATGAGATGAAAACAAAAGACAAATGTACGAGTTCAGAGCGCTTTTTTTCGGTTACCTTATATCGTAATGTGACCAAAATGTCTAGAGCAATAAATAAATAATGGAACAATGACGGACCAGTTTGAGTTGGCTTAAATTGTATATTAATTAATAATAATAACAAATTAGTGTATTATATACATTATGTGGCGATATTGTGTTCCAAAATCGTCAAAGTACTGCTTTCATTGCACATAAAGAGTTGGATTAGATGGGGGTGCCACAGTGTTGTTTTAGACATTCACATCGGAAATAGGGGTGTAGGGATAATTGGAAGATATATCCCTTTGGGGCCATTTGCACATGGCCAATGCGGCGACCCTTGCTATTACATAAGGGGGACACGTTTTTCTTGCACTCGTCGTTTATACCAGGAATGAATTCGTGAGAAACTAATCATCGCTGGTAATGACTGTCATAGATAATACGTTATACAAAATGACCAGTTTTCTATTGTAGCCATGTATAGATTATCGGACCCGCTTAGATATGGTTTCTACCTGCTGAGTAAAAAATAATTGACACACATGCGCATAGAACCAAAAATATTCAGTATAACTGTCCCCGGGTTAAGGCTGTACCAGTTTTCTGATCCTATTGTGCAATATTCAGATCTAATCTACCAGTTCAAGACGAAGCCTAACAATGGGTTTTCGAGCTCATGGAGAAAGATACGTTTTAATGAAGCTCAAAGAATTGTACAGCAGACATGACCATTACTGTGTTCTTCCTTTAAATGATGTTTCATAATTATCAGTAATTGCCTTATCTCCTTCGATACGGACGTATCATTATAACGAACGAACCATTCCGCATAAATTAATGAAGTGGCGGCCGCAGTAACTTCGACGTCTATCGCATTGAAAAGGATTTGCTCTAAATTATAATTGGCGTTAAAACTTGTTTTTCTAACGTATCGACTGCCTCGTCAGACTGCTGAATCTTCTATTTTGGAAAGATGAAGTTGTCAGCGATCAATCAAGTCTTCGGCTCTTCTTGCGTAAAGCAAAATGTTGAATCTATCCAGCAATTAGCGACAATACTAGCCTATACTAAGAATAGTCAAGATACCGCTTCGTACACCTAGTATCGTCTCTATGTCTATAGCACGCATCTCAACGTTTTGGCAGTTTGCATTTTCTTTTGTCTTACTCGCTTCTGCCTGCGTTATGTATTGCGAACGAATAAGCATTGGTCGACACTTTTTTCCATCTATAATTTTTCTGTACACGTTGTTGTTGGGCTGTTTTTGGGGAGTAGGAGCACTATGCATTGCTGGCTTCTTGTTTTTCTGGCCTGTTTTACTATTTATTCATCTGCTCTCAGCTGATCGATGCAGTGCTCCGCGCGCATTCGCCAGAGGGGGATGTTGTTAGACGCACTCGGCAAGGACAATGTTCAACAAGTTGTGCCTGTATCTGTTAAGCCGCCGATTTTTGTGGGTAGACCGTTGGTATTAGCAAGCCGAAAAATATATGGGCTGAGCTTCCGGCAGGCATTTATGGCCTCGCCTTACTATAATAATAGGCCCGCTACGGCAGCTGATAGAAGTTTAGGCAAGTTTTTTTTGTAGAATTTTTTTTTGTAGATACGCGGGCTATGGAAGAAAATGGGCAAACAGTCGACAATTTTTTTGTTAGGCAAAATGACAAGTTTTATAAAGTCAGTTTTCTAGATATGCAATAGCAATTCGATCCGCTGACACTTCCTAGGAGATTGCGGGGCAGACGAAATCTTTGTAGCCCAATTCTTGGCAGATGCTTGTCCATTCTGGAGAGGTAAGATTTTGGGTCACATAATAATTCAACTATAAAGGCATGTGAAGATACTAGACGCTGATTTCAATAGAACAAAATTCAAATAATATAAGCAAGCTAGTGTTCAAATGATCAAGTGCCCTTAAATCTTAGGAGCGCGTCAAGTGTTCTCTGCGTGGCTCCTTAACTCCCGATCTTTTCTGAGCGAAGTCAAGGCCGGATTCAGCGAGACTGAAAGTTCTTCGTCACGCGGTTGCTCGAAGATTTAGATATACAATAACTACGTGCTGTACATGGAATGCTATAAATGATAACCTATTTCAGAAGGCCAAAGCGTGCACGAAACGTATAGGTCCAATAGGACTTATACGAGAAAGCACTTTACAGCTATTGGATGCTACGACGGGATGTTTGTATTCAGGGTGCAAACAAAATTGTATACAGAGAGTTACGAATGCGTTAACAAGACATTACATATGAGCTTGTTAACAGGCATAACAGAGCCTGCCAGCGAGCTACGTTGGAAATTGCCTTTGCCAGGTTACGATGGTATTTGAAGTACATCGCTTTACGTAATGCGTTCCTATAGTATAGTCTAGCCGTATTGGATAACTCACTATACAGTAAAAGACGCACCCTTGCCACTTTGTCTTAACGGCTTACCCGCTTCTCATGGAGAAAAAAAATGTTCAAAGCAATCGTTTGCTGAAATAATTCACTCGCGTAGACATTTAGTTGTTGATCCTTCATAGAATAAATAAGCCCCATCTAGATGGCGAGATACGCTAGTGGGGAGCTGTAGAAAATACATATGAAAACATTCCTTTTCCTACCTCGAGTTAAGTTCTTGACGTTTTGAAAAGATCTTCTACAATATTGCAAATGAAGCTGATATTCGTTAGCACATCGACGCTGTAGGTCGGAGATGTATATATCGTTAATTTATGTACATTCTGAGAGGTGTTCGGCTGTACTTATATATGTGTGTATGTGCGACTTTGCCAAGTATGGGATTGATCAGCCCAATGTTTTTATTTTTTCGCAGCATACCGTCGACCTAAGCGCTTAACATATTGATGATTCCCGAATGTGATAGCTTAAAATGATACCTTTTTTAACACAGTTAGTTCCGAGTATATTGGTTAGAACAATAGCTTGATAATCAGCCGTGATGCTTATCGCTGCGGGCTTGCCACTCGGCATGTGGCAGATTAGATAGATAACCGGTCCGATACTGATTCCCTTCATGCGTATTGAAACCGGCGTCTAATTCTTCATATTAGGTGTCTATGGTTATCGATAGAGATAACAGCTTTGTTCACAGATCGACTCGGTAGTGATTTGGATGTATGTTTATTATAAAAGAGTAAAGACTCGTTGTCAGGGTTCAGCGCGTTTTGTTTCATCGAGACAACTGAATCGTTGGTTGGCATCGTACGGCCTTGGCCCTATACTTCGTACTTTTTTTCTTTTTTATACTCTGCTATCTTTGAACATCTGTAGAAAAGGCCGGCTTGCCTATCGACAAGTGTTTTTAGCATATGCAAATAACTATTTTCATTATTCAACGACATTTAAACATGTTTTTATTTGTTAATACCCATGCGACAAGTAAGTTCCTCTTGGGGTAAACAATAAACGCGACGCTTTTGATTCAATAAATCGCCATCAGCCTTGCGCTGTACGTCGTTACGTTAAGTTCAGAAGATATGTTATACTCAGCACTTGCACTCTATTCGAAAGAAAAAAAAAACAAGCAAGCGCTAGTCAAATGGAAGACGGTGTTCTACCGAACGGTCGCGATATGTCTTGATGATCATATATTGTCGAAGTAACAAGCTGATATGCAGCGATACTGGGATACTGTGTACGCAAACTTCGAACTACCATTTCTTCTCTAACTTTATTTGATGTTCATAGTGAAGTTCTACTAACCTATACATTGATGCTACCAGTTGTTATCTACTGGCGTGACACGTAACAACAACAAAATGAACGGCTCAAATTAGTAAGTAAACTTGCGCCGAGTCCGATAGGCTTTTCGCGCTGTTTCAAGAGAGAATGGCTATGTTAGCAAAGATACATTTACGTTTCCAGAGAAGTTCATTTAACTGAGATCACTGTATTGTCCCCCGACAACATACAGCCAGGGCGTATTCCCGCTGTCCGTAAGTATCTCATTAGATAAGTTCCTATTTTGACTATCATTGAACGACGCTATTTTGCTCGAACGAAACAACTCGAAACGCTCTTGATGAACGCTAATTCAGATAGAAAGGACAAAAATCCGTGTGTACCTAGAGGAACATTTTTAAGCGTGGGACCATATATATATTCTTTTCGCTTGTCACACGAATAATTACAGTACGGTAGTACTCGTCTGTTTGCTGGCTGCTTCATTGTTTACTAGATTTGATAACGCGTACACGCACAACGTACTCGCACTAAACCACTTTGCTTGCATATAATTTGCAATATGTTCCCAGTGGACGTTCACCAAAGGACTAGATGCCATGAAAAACTCACGACGCCACCAGGGGACATATAAGCCTCAACGATACCACAGTCAATATCAGCCACTGTATAATAACGTTTGTATCTGACACGCTCCATTGAGCGCGTATGTTTCAATAGCTAAGCAAAGACTTATTTCAGTAGACAAAAATAAACTTATTTACAGTTGTTCGGTAGCTTAGATCACTCGTTTCCGAAGCTAATCTCAAGCAATTCCCAGGACTCCTCTAGAAATGCTCATGTTTATCTGAAAATGGCTAACGGCGAACTGCAAGCTTGAGAAAACCTGTTATATATATATATACACACACACACACACACACACACACACAAATACACATAAGCAATGCTAATAATATCTGATCGACACTATTAGGTAAATAAGGGCTTGGAATTTGACAAGCTGCCAAAAAGTAACTAACCGATATTGCAGATGTCACAACTTTGAGGCTATTGTATGAAAACTTAACCGTCGCACGCCCATTGTACCAGTCAATCTGCTTCTTAGTCGGCAGAACTAGGACTATTACTTACGCTACCCAGGTATTTTTAACATACAACGCAGTTATATTAATTACAGACACTTCCGTCAGCAATCCCTAAAACTTGGACCATTGTTACGCTCACTTAATCATATGTTTATAGAAGATAATGTTTCTAACTGTTTTTGTTCACAGGCTCAAAAAAGGCACTTTTTGGGGGTTGGCATGCTATAAATAGTCTATATGTTGATTTAGTCGGATCCATAAAAACAACGTTCCGAGTTCGCACAAATTATGAATAGTTAAAACACAAACACTTGGTAAATGACGGAAAATTCTACTCAGTCGCCTTAGCCCATCCTGCTCGCTTGACAGTTCAGCCTGCGAGATGAATACAATGAACAAGAAATGACCGCCCAGATCTTGGCCCACGATGGTTTGCTTCGGCCAATTCGATGACACTTTCTCGTTGGCAACTTTTACCACCTATCGGCGACTTAGGGAAGCAGAAGAAGACCCTGAAGCTTGCCTTGTGACAATCAGGCGGGCAGACAAACTCCTAGCTTTTGCACTACACTAATGCTTTGTTTGCCCTATTATGGGATACTTGTAGCATACTTACAATCTAACAGAGAAGAATGTGCGTTTGAAATAGATGGATCGAGCTCGTCACATAAAATATCATTCGATACCCTATGTTCTCTAACGAGCCAAGCGGTAAGTTGAATTTCAACTTGCAGAAATAGTTCCAAAATTTTCCATTATTTAGTGGCGGCGAGGACTTATCTGTTGGGCTTATAATAGTTCACGCTAGCATAGCCTGTTACTGGAGCCTTATGCCCATAACGTTGGCTAGCGCCTTTTCCTTTGTTTTGTGATTTTCCTTTTGAAAAAGCTTGGGTAGTATAGAAAGACTATGTCAAATCAAGCTAGGAAAAGTTCCTTTCTTTTTAAAGATGATTTATGTTAGTGCAAGTTAGTCAAAATTTAATCACTAGATGGAAGTTTGAAACTAGTACTAGTAACTAACACCAAGATTTACGAAGGCTTTCCATCTGAGCTAGACGTACCGCATTAGCTTTGTAGAAAAACTGAAAAAGCCTTACCATAATTTTAAAGCACTATTTTTATGATTACTTCAAATGCTGCCTTCAAAACGTACGTTCGTGAATTCGGGAGACATATCGAATCGTTCAATAGACTTCAAGAAAGACTTCAATCTAAATCGTTTATACAAAAATTGCATTTTAAGAAGCGTAGGTACGATTCGTTTTTCGCGTATAACAGATACATTGAAACAAATATTCTACATAGCCTACAATAGTATAGCTAATGTAAATAGTAGGACATTTTGTTCGATGATCTTTCGCCTTTTTTTCTAGAATCTTCCGGGCAAAAAATTACCACATGGTTTTTGCGTCCCTTCCTTGAAACTGAACAATTAAGGGATTTCTGTGAGTGGCGGAGAAGGTACTAACTACACGGCGGATACCAGAAGCGTTTGCATGCATTTTTGCCCGATAGCTAAAAGGTACGTGTTCTTGTCCGAAACAATTGCTTTGCCAGACAGTATAATACACGTAATCCCACCAAACTCTTAGCATCACTTTTTTTTTGACGTCGGTCTTTTTTTATTTGCACGCTACCCTCTTTGTTGCTACATATTGTATGATCCATATTAAAAAGGGGCTTAAATTCCGTTACGGTTCTCCAATGGAAACATAATCGAGTAAATTATTTTCTGTAAATCCGTACGGTACAAAAAATATCGATCGAACTTTTCAGTTAAGCCAACCCTCGTCGAATTATTTAGTTGTTTGAAAGTTACTATTGTTCAATTGGTAGACGTTGAGTGATGTCATGAATATGTTATTCAACTTTTATTCGTAGATGCTGATCGACCACCTCGAGGGGCATCCTTCGCGTCGGTATTTCCAGACTGAACGCCGATTTTTGAGCGTAAACAGCATAGTAGCCCGGACAGCATATATGCCCGTATATTATTCTTATTTATATATATATACATTTGTATATATACACATATATATACATACATACACTGGAAATGGAATTTCGCACAGATATTTCTGATGAACAGGTCAAAACAGTAGTGAGCTGCTAACCAAATCAAGGAAAATTGATTGAATACTTGATCATTTTAATCGAAAGAGTCTATTCGGCACTTCCCTCTAGGTGACTGTTGTTTATGACTCCCCCTGATCAATGTTCGCATTATTTCTATGGCCTTGAAATTATGTTTCAATATACATGTTATTCAACATGTTATTCAATGGAGCGATTTTATCCCGTCTGCGTCGTTTCAGCTTCTGGTTGTGCATCGTATCGTTGTACAGCAGCCACGTCAGAGATACAGTTCAAACAGATCTCGCACTGCTTGTATTTCAGATACATAATATATACTCGAGACGTCTAAACGAAAATTTCACTACGACGACTTGTCTATTAGACGAACCTTTCTATTGACAAGCCGCCGGAGAAAAGGCTTTTCCAGCGTGAAAAGGCTCCGCTCAAAGATAATTCACCTAAAATCATTTTCGTATTGTTGCATTGCGTTGTCAAAACGTGTCGAAAGCTAAAACTATCAAAGTACCCACCCATCTTATCTACTTGTGCTGCGATGATCGGCTCCGAACTATCGTCGAGTAAACTTCACTTTGATTCGAGGTCGCTTAACTTCAGCGCGTTCGATATCCACCAGTCTTTTACCACCACCGGTCGTAATGACTGTCATCTTAAAAAAAAAAACGCCAGTTGGAGACTTCATTCCTGAAACGATCTTAATTTTGGCTTAAATATGTGTATACGCCAGCCAGCCAGCCAGCCAGCCAGCGAGACGTTCCTGGGACTAAAAGTGCATAGAAGGGCTTCTTCACTGTAGTTCTATGAGCCGTTATGAATCTATTCAATAGGCCACAAAAAGCTATTTGACAGGCACGAATAGAGTTTGCACGAGCGAAGCAATCTCTTAAATGACCCAGAATCTCTTGCGATATTAAATTAGCAAATAAAACTGGCAATAAACCAAACACCTGAATGGCCTGTTTAGGTAGCTTAGGCATCTTCGACTCTTACTGCCATCATACTCTGCTCCGAGTTTCTAAATATATAGTTATATAGCGCAACAAATATATCATTCTAGTTCTAATCAGACAATTTTATCGAATCTATTATGTGTGTGTGTGTATATGTTTCTCTGTCCACAGGACACGGTACAAAAGGAAGAAAGGTGTATCGTTGTAATAACGAACACAATGCGTAAACGTTTCGAAGAAAATGCAGCCTTCTAATTAGATCAATGTCCTTTCTACGCATACGCAAGTCGCAACAACGAAGGCACTAACAAAAATAAGACCCTTTTGAAAATTCGTATTCGTTAACGCTAGGGGGTGAAGGGCAATGGCGGCCAGACAGCGCAGATAAGAGCGCTTCGACATGACGATAACTCGCAATATCGATACACAGTCGTCAAGCTAAATGGCAGCACACGAAACAAACCCTAACCGAAACAACCGTACAATGCAATATAACTGGTAGTACAAAAAGCAAATTAGTTTACGAGTCATCACCAGTAGAACACACAATTCTACTTAGAAAGTACACGTGTCCTATCTCATTAAAATAACACGATGTGTTGTAAATAGATGCGTTGCATAACTGCAACGCAAAAAGAAAAACCTTTATACTAGTTTCAATTCTAATTTAGCGGATCTTCATTGTAGAAAGAAGACAAATTAATGAAATCCGCTTGCAGGCATACATACGGAACATTGGAGTCCACCTTTTTATCCAGGCTTGGGATTGCAATAGGACCACAGTTAACCAACCTCGAAGGATAAGATTTTTGTTCGAGTTAGCCTGCCGGCAGTTGTGTGGTAACTGAAAAATAAGGATCAGAGTAAACAAATTAAGGCAGAGCTTCATAGGGAAGCAAACAACAAATAGCACACATTATGTACCTCTTTTGTAACGGCTAAGACCATTGCTCATGACAGTAAGCCTGCAATGTCGTAATCCTGCAAAAATATAGGATCGACATTTTGAATAAACAAGAAGACTAATAAATATAATATAGTAAACAATATCCACGTCAAATAAATGACTCTGCTTGCTGAGATGGCCCCCAAAAATATATTCATTTAAGCAATTACCGAATATCAGCTGCTGCAGCTAGGACCCGCGACCTTGTATTTGCAAACGCTTTGCGTCCTCGCCATTTTAAAGTATATATCCAATCGGCTGCTAATACATAGATTCCGTGTGCGACGTTCAGAGTGTTATATCATGAAGCAAATTACAGAGTTTGCCGATGGATGATATCTTATATCTGATAGCAAAATAATTATCTGGTAGAACAAAGAAATAAAGTGAAGCCAATTCTGCTAGAGGGCATTTGAAGGAAACCTAAATACTGTGGTTCGTTTTACCAGAATCTACCGTGTTCATTATACAAAACAATATCTGAATGTACCGGTGATAGAATAATCAGAAACAGTCGTATTTTGTATCGACAGCTGAACATGATCCAGTCGATATTGCAGAAGTTCACCAATTTCCGAGTACGGTAAAGCCGTCTCTGTTTTCCACAGTCGGATATTTTTCGGACGTAGCTCTGATCTGTGATTCTTAAGATTCCTAATTTCGCTATAAAAGTACGCTTAGCAATTAGATTCAGTTGTATACTATCGTTTACGTTCCTGTCGTGATCTCCTCCAATCTCAAGCCAACTCTTGCCCAAAGCTACGAGTCAATATTAACTGGAAACCACTATAAGAGGCATTGGCAAAATTAAGATAGACAAACATTGCCGCTGGTTAAGCAGAGATACTATGTATAATATGTATACATTTCAGTTAACATTTGTTTACTCTTTGACCGTAAAGTGGCTAAATCTAAAAGAAAAGGCAGGACGGAACTTGGCTCTTTTCACTCGTGTACAATCATTGGTTTGCAGGTTGAAGCTCGGTCAAAAAGGGACCAACCTGGTAACTTAAAGCAAGTTAACTTTGTTGTGTGCTTATCTCTCGTATTCGCGAAATCTACAGGCACAGTTGCAAGATATCCCTGGAAGCGAAAAACGCAGAAGCTACCAATGAAGATACTTGTCAATTGTTTTGCTACGTGAATTCTAGTCGGAATATGGGTTTGTTTTGTAGGTTGTAAAGCTGGGCGTAATATGCTGGGCGTCAACAGGAGTTGTGCTTGGTAAACAATATCAAAAGGGTCACCAGCATTATTGTTTTAAGGTTTCGCTAAAAAAAACCCTTTGTATTCTGCCAATGGGAACGGAAAATTACGTTAACGCGATGCTAATTGATAGGTGAACTCCTATCACGAGTATTCAACGATGTCCAAATTATGATCGCTTTCGGCATTTCCACGCCATATTTTGAAAGGAAGCAAACATACGCATCCTGTGAATGAGGCTGCTTAAATAAACGAATCCCTAAATTCGAACTGAATTTTGCCCGTATTGCCATTTTAGAGAGACACCGATAGGTATCTATTCAGCGTAGCCGAGAAACGATCACTGACAGAGTCCAATGAAACACCTACAACACAGAGAACAGTATGTGTTTCAATGTGTAATATGTGATCGTTTTTATATTTGTTTATTGCTCCCAGTGTTTCGTTTCCTGCTCGCTGATGACAGCATATATATATATATGTGTGTATACTAGATAGCTATTAGTACTATTAGATAGCTTTTTCCTTTGCTCTGTATGGCCGATATCATCGTTCTGTTCGGCATATAGACTGACAATGAAATAAATTAACGAGAGCGACTGTTCGGCAACGAAAAAGATTCCGAAAGCAAGTTAACAATTCTCTCTCTAGCAAGGTGACGATCTGATTTCTAAGAGATATAACTCGATCTACTACAACGAGGTTGGGGTAAGCCCCCTGAAACTCGAACAAAATATATCTTTGTGTGGATCAGATTTTTTAAATGCCATTTTTTAACTTGCCAAGTCACTTTTCGATAATACTCCTAGCTGTAGAGTCGTTATTCTATCTATTCTCGCTTATTGACTTCGAATAGGGAAAAACAGAAGATTTGTTAGCTGATAAATCTCTATTTTTATGACTCGAATGGTATGCGGAGCAAATCATAACAATGAGCATACAAACAGACGAGATATCAATAACAAAAAATTGTCATTACTCATTTGAAACACCGAAGACTTTCTTTGAAAATCGGTTACGTTAGAAGATAATTAATCATGTGTCAACGGGCTTAGCATGTAATGTTATAACGTTGACTGTGATTCTTGATACATATAGATCACTATATATTCAAATAGCTAAAATTACAGCCGTGAATATGTGCAATAAAACAGCTTTATATATGGCTATATATACGGCTAGCCGATGTGGTACTGTGCGCCGTGTACCCTATTCATGTTATTGGAGGGTCGTCAGCGTTTGTGAAGAAGCGAAACAGGACGGGGTGTCAAGCCATGCTCAGAGCAACGCATACGATTCGTAATGGTCTGGAAATCTACAGTCTAGTATTGTGTATGTTCACTATCGAAATGGCAACTCCTATGACTTTCATTCAACCAGATAAAACAAACTGCGGAAAACAACCAATTCACTTGAAACTATCTCGATGCGCGACAGTCTGTTTGGCCGCCGCCGTCCAATGATTTATCTCCTTTCGATTTTTTGCCATGGGGCTATGTGCAAGACAACGTCCATAAGGTAGAACCCAAAAAATCACAGCCTGAAATACAGTATTCCTAAAGCCATTGATAAAATTGTAAAAAACAAGCGATTGTAATAAATTGGGTAGGCCCATGATTTGGCATTACATGTAACTGATTTGGTTACGCAAGCGGTCTGTGAGAAGACGTTTGGCTATCGTTGTTTTCCATGTGAAGTGGAAAACTGCCTGGGCCAGTTGAGCGTAAGAATTAAAAACATACTAGAAAAACAAACCCGTTTTTGTTTTTTACTTTGTGATATTAATATTCGCTGGGAACTTGTAGCGCACTCTATATTATACAATTTTTAGTTCACTCTAATATACCGTTTGTGAACGCTGCGTTCTTTTACTACTTTTGCTAGACGGCAGTATAATTGAAGAAAATTGCAAGTTTTACGTCTAATTACGGGTATTAAGCAAAGTTCTAAAACTTTAGCCCTCAACATGAAACGACGTGGGTTTGCGACCGGTTTCTAATCTAGACTACTTTATATGTTTCTGAATGTTTCACCTGCTGTTTTGCCCTTGAGCATCGATCTCGATACCTGGTTCTCAAGACTAATATGTCCGTGATTCACTCCGAAACAAGACCACCTTGAATTCGGTGAGAAAAACATTTTTCCAGTTTATACTATCGAGAAGGGTGTAAGTAACCGTACAACGTGCAAAAAAACCCAGTTCTTAGAGAGCGTGACTCCTCACAAACACCTCATGATTAAACTAGCCCATTTTCTAGTGAGGCTTTGGGAACAACTATTGATCGTGATCTCTGAAAGTAAAATAATACGCAGAACTGTGTTATTCGACCTCTAAGAATACCACCATTATGCTATATACATATGAAATCGCTTTAAAGAACTTTCTGTAGAACAAATGCTGGCATTCGAAGAAAGTAGTAAGAAAGCCCGCGAAAGTACGTTAGCATTATTGTTAACATACACTTGTTGGCTTTCTGTTGGCACTGAAATGTATGTTATACTTATTTAAGTTATGTCTTTGTGGATATATGTCGACAGTGTAAGCCACTGCTATGCACACCAACCTGTACACGACGGCACGTACGCATCAGCCCATGTGTCTTTTAAGTTCTCCATACTCACACAAAACAACATCGGCACATGTGTGCCGCAGATTGCTTCAGACATAGATTATAAAAATCTATATTCCAAATTTTAAATTCGTTATAGGCGTACGGTGTATGAGAAGTCGAGTTACTGTAACAGTACAGTGGAAGCCCCGCAGCCCTTGGTGTGGCCTAGGGATTCTAATCCAAAGAGCCTCCAGCCGAACTACGAGTTTCTATACTTAGTTCCACTTCGGAATTACCTACGCTTAAAACAATTGAGGTCACATTATTCTCTTGTGTTTGTAACACATACAGCCTTATATACACGCAGCTTATGTACGTATGATGTGTACACCTATGTGCACTAAACAAATAACTTTCCCTGCTTGTACGAATCACGTTTCGTTGACTAAGTTATAATAACTTGCCGTTTTGTCTAGACGATTTTCGTGGCTTTTATTTGGATAGGCTGATTGAAACTTTTGCGGCATGCGTAGCTTATATATCCGACATAAACCACTGAAGTGGACCACAGAACGCGTAGTCGTGCTTTTTCTCGAGTAACGAAATACATCGTATTTAAAAGGTGTTGATCCTCTTAGCCAAAAACGTTTCTGGTAAGATTGTCACCGCTCTCGATGAGCTCCAGCCAGCTCCAAATTGATTTAGAAAAAATTTATTTTCAGTATATATTTCGAAATTCAATCTACTGCATATATAAACGCATATGACGGCTGGACGGTAAACCCTGCTATCTTACCAATCAATGCCCTAGAACCGAATACTACACAAATTGCTTAACTAGTAAGGATCGCTACAAGTTGTTTTGTTGCTTTACAATATATATTCCTTTAAGAACGCATCAAGCCAGCCTCTACTATTTTTATTCCATCTACAACTTCGACACCATCGTACCATTTCAAACTTCCGGCCGAACTGCGTGCATTTTAAACCAAAAATATCTATTTATTCAAATATTTCTTATTATCTAGAACCCCAACATACCTTGCTCTAGTTTGCCACCTAGATATGTCCATCACGGTACCGACACAGGCCGGCGCTGTTGAAAATCTGATCATTATCACGTCCGTATAAACTACTTCGATTCTTTCGGGTTGTAGCGATAGCAGACAACAACTCAATGAAGAGGTAAATAAATCACACCCGGCTTGTACACGCCCCTTTCAGTTTCAGTAAAGCGTTCTCATCTGCAATTCTGTCTTGCTTCCTCGTATCCGAAATGATGCACAATGGCGGCTTCACGAACTTGATACTACACATCTGTTATTCCTAGCAATTATGCAGAATTCCAGCCATTTTTTAGCATGATTATCTCCTTCGAACCGTTTTCTATCTCTTCGAAAATAATCGACACAGACGACAACTCCGATAAGATATTCATGGTGCATGTACACACACAGATTGAGCACCAGGTTCTTTCTTTGCCTCAAAATCACTTTATATCACCGTCGTGAAAGCGCTATAACTAACGTTTTTTCGTTAGCATCCGACTTGCAAAAATCTTTTTGGCGGAAGGTGGAGCGCATAGCTGACGAGATCCATATGTCACCTCCTAATTTTTGGCAGTATTTTCTGTACTGGATGATCCGTATAGTTCACATGGCTTCTCTATCGAGTTTCCTCAACGCCCCACTCTAATCATCGAATTTTGCGTCTGATACTGCCCCAAACAGCTAGAAGAACTTTCTTCCTTTGCCCCCTAACACTATTGAAAAAGAGATCTTCGCAGAACTGCTGTAGCTCCCAGTGTGTAATAATGTATGACAAAAGCAATGGTATCCTCCGGTCCCGTCGGTGTTTCTAGTATTTAAGCTGCATTTGACTATCTAGTGTTGCCGTCATATGAATGGGTGTAGCATTGTTGTTCTCTGTACGCACGTACTTAATAGAGTAACCTAATCTACAGAAGAAAAATGGCGGTTGGCTGGTAGAATAGATGTCACTTGGATCCACGTGTACATTTACATGACACTCTATGAGTGAGTTCTTCCATATCTACTTAGCCGGCCGTTCGATTCATGCAATTGTTGTCGTATGAAGCTCTTTCTCTATGTTCTTATAGCACTTTTCTGTCTAGGTTTTTCTCGGTATGCAGTACGACAATCGATGACCAATCACCTTACTTAGCGGTCACGTTATCTAGCAAGTTCAAGACAATGACTCATTGTGTCTAAAATGTATGTCCTGTTGTGTACGTCAATGTCTTCAAGCTTCGAGTCGCGTTTAAGTTAGCGGAAACTTTCTGACGCAATTTCTCCCGTCGAAACGGCGGTACCGTACTCACAAGAGGCTTCGGAACTAGCTGCTCAGACAGAAATGACAGCATATCTTGCTGAAGGCTGGAGAGAGCGATAGTTCAGACCGCTGCTCACAGGGAAGTCCAGCTGGAACGTCCGTCATTAGCTAACAAACCTCTTGCCAAGCACCTTTTTCCTTCTCGAGTACGCAAAAGCAATGGCCGCTTCGCGCGCTTACTTTTGCTATTAGGTGTTCATTTGATTGCTAAAATCTTCTGCCTTATTACTTCTTGCAGTGATTAATAAGTGCACAAGTATAATGGTAGTAGAAGTATCCAGAGATAGGCGTCTAAATATTTATTCTAAAACTGAACTCTGCAGTTCCTATATAGTTTGCTGGTGAAGTTTACTTGACCACTTGCACTAGGTGAAACCAATGGGCCCCATCCTGTCACTGTTGCCGCTCAATTGAGGAACAAACGAGGAAAGGGCGACAACCACTCCCCCAAAACTCAAGCTACCTGTACTCACTACACCATAATGGCAAAGCCTGGCAGCGGGATGCAGGCAAATCATTGACGATTAGGCGAGGACCTACGCTGGGAGAGGGTAGACCAGACCGACGTGGGTGAGAGAAGCTCTATAGAAAATTGCGCTCGGGAGAGATGAGCGCAGACGGCCTTTTGCTTTCGGAAGAAGGTACGCTATTGAGGATATTAAAATTTGCCTTTTAGATGTCTAGATGCGGCGTTGATGTCCTGGTGACGGAGCACATACAATCACGTGACTCTCCCAGTATTTATTCATGTTATTTTAACACAACGTAAAAAGTTGTTCACGATATGGAATTTTGCATTTTTCCAATGCCTACCCATATAGTGAAGGCTGTGCATGGCATGTATCCACTAACGCTGAAGCGAAAACCAGCGAGCCCAATTAGTCCTGTCACTGGCCTTAGTGACTCGGCCTACGATGAGGAAATTTTTCGCATTCATCAACTCGCGAACGGTTTAGGTGTTTGCCTAAACTACACACACACACACACACATATCGATCATGGAAAAACGCCCATTATGGCAACTCCGGCAGTGTTCTGATTTAACAAACACAACAGTAAATCACACGTATAGCAATCACTCACCGCTCAAGTCGACAACTTGTGGATACACATAATTTCTTAAAATTGCTTAAATGAGTATCTTTACGATGTGAATTAAAATACCCACACAAGCTAACTGTAGGAACCTAATTGCTTCTGTAAGTGTAATTTTGTTGGTTCCTTTAGATAAAGGTTATTTGAACTTTAGACTCTGAGGTAGAAAAACGCCCTCAGATAAAGATAGCACCGAAGAAACTCAAGAGGTTATCAACAGCATTTGGTCTTCTAATGGATTTATGCTAATTTTTCAAAATAGAAATTTCGGCATCTTAAGATACGAAGTAATAGCCGCGTTTAGGAAAATTATTAGGGCATGTAAAAAAACAACCTTGTCGAAGTTACTATTGGATCATAAATATGGCTTGTCTTCCATTGAGCTCTGACCCACATTTCACCCTATGATAGCTATCTTGTGACAATTTTTTAGCTTTTATTGCTTTCAGTTAATTTCGGTCACCTTGATTCCTGTTTAAAAGTCGGTTGCTGGTCGGTTTTCGATTGAATTACTTGTTTATCTAGCTATCAGGCTTTAGTGTGACTGGTATCTCTCATCTGTTTTTTTTAACAGAACATGAAACATACCATTTTGAAAATTAATTCATCCAACTTACTAGAAGCTTTTATTTGGACGAAGTAAAAAACAGGAAAATAGAGCTAAGGAAGAAGTTTTCGTTTCTATGCAGTGCTTCGGCACATAACAGAGGGCACGTCTAATATAAGATAGGCAACATGTACGATAGCAGAAGCCTATCAAATTATTGAATATAATAAACGAAGAAAAAATTCGACAAGGACCCAAAGTATTTTTCAATAAGCCTTTCTCATTAGCCTATCCCTGTTACTCTATATATAGAGATATGTTGCCTTCTTGCGAATTAAAACCAGCGAGTTGTTTTGTTTCCTACGTGAAAATGATAAGTGTCGTTTTCGCATAGGAAACAGCAGAGAAATCTGCAACTCAATTCTGTGTCTACGGAGCCTAGTAACGTGTAAAAAGTTGGAGACAAATCAGAGAATTGGTAGACAGCTGCAGCAGTTCATAACACCAAAAGTTACAGCAAACATTATTGAATCATACCGTATCCCGATTCGTCAATAATATGATGAAGCTGAATCCGCAGTATTCCTATATCTGAAAATGAGCGAAAGTCCCGCTCCAAGACAGATCTATTCTACATATTTTTGTGCGTGTGTGGAAATACGTGACGTACGGCTGAATCAAAACCAGTCGAAATGCGGCAATATACATGTCACACGGAAATGTCTTAGTTAGAAATATTATCGCGAGGCATCTAATTTGTGCTGCATTTCGTTCTACCAATGCCCCCAAATGCTCACAGCAGAGGACAGTTTTCGAAGAAGATGTAATCAATCTAGAGGTAAAGATGGGTAGTCCATGTTATTATATTTTAGATACGTTTTTTGTGTGGGTACATGTTTTATGTCGTGTGGGGTTGTTTCGTCCAAGTTACATTGGGAATTTTTCGCCATGTTATGGAAATATTCTAAACTATTTGCAGTCAAACTGGCTAGAAGTCATTAAAAAGCTATCATTCCATTGGGTAGAGTTAGTAGGAGCTGGAAGGATTATTTTGTACTTGCTCATTCATCTAGAGTACAATCGAAGTGAGATCCCAATATGTATATATAGTTGCATTACCCAAATATCAATTATCCTTTAGCGTCCTTAAATAGACACAAAACAGTAAGATGTTAACCGCCAGCTATATAACGAAACCCTTTTTCATATGATCCTAATTAATCAAGTTGTCCAAGACCGCAGACGTCCTTGAGAGGATTTAGCCCTTCGTGACACGAAAACGACTTAAATAACACGTAAAACAACCGTAGTCGAATGTCAGCTATTGCAATTAAGTCGTTACATCAAGCGAATAGATTCTGCTCGTCGGCAGCTTCGCCTTCGTTTCTTTCGAGCGATGTTTTTTTGTCTTCGAAATACTGTACAAATGACACCCAGCACATACACGGTAGGCCTTTCGGCAGCTTCTACGGTAGGGAGTCGTGTAGATGGAATACTAAAGTGAGTGCGTCATAGCGGAAAATGGAATTGCGATAGGAATCACCTATCGTAGTCGTGCCACTTTAACTAATACGTGATGAAAAAAACACGTCGTAGCTGGGAAAAAAAAACACTCTACAATCGTCCATAATTACCCACAATTCATAGGAAACGGTCCATACGTAGCCACAACTGTGGGATGAATTGGTTCGACTAAGGACAGGTGTCACTTTGTATTTGAAGTCGATCATAAAACGATGCTTAACTTCGTTGTTTTATTTTTGATTCGAAATGAACTCCAATGGCTGACAGAGTAGACGAAGGTATCATTTGCTGTCTACGAAACTCTACTTCGTTTTTCGAAATCATGTCTAGCTGGACAGCCAAGCTATAACCTGACAGGACTGCAGGTTTCGGTCGGCCCCCGCTCCTTTTCTCGTTTTCCGTAAACGACTCGTTTTACGCTTTTATGATGTTCTACACGTACATCGATTGGCACGTAGAGAACAGTCATGACCAAAGCATGCAGCTTCGTAAGGTTGCTAATTGCGCGTCCAACGCAATATGAAGCTTTTAGGCTAACTCTTAGCCATATACTCAGATCATTATCGAATTACAGTTTCCTTGTGTCCCTATGATAGCGACTTTGAAAATAGCAAAAGTAGCGTGCTGTCCACAAATCCTAACGACGCTACCAAGATAAGATTTTGAGCGATTCTTTCTCTATCTGTATATAGTAGTATTGACTTGCTTCTTTTATCTTTAGCAGTCCTTGTAAAGCATAGCTGTATATTATTGGCCAGGTTTTTCACTTCAGCTTCAGAACAATAAAAGTAAGCCTTCTGACAAGTTATAAGTAAGCCATCTTTAATAGATGTAAAAAAAACGCTAGGGCGGCTAAGGTCTCACAACTTTAAACAACGATTAGCCTTACGAGCTGGTCCTTTGCCTCGTGAGGCAATCATTATTAAAGCGTTTAAAAAACCTCGATTCTTCAAGGACATTTGTCGTTAGCACCCATAAATAGGTATTTGCGCCCATCAATGGTGAGCTAAGAAAGATCTCTGCTAGCCCCGAATTCCGTTATTAGGCCAACCCATTGCAACTGCGAAACAACCAGGCCGACTGCGACTGTGGCCTAAACTGGACATCGACTACGCGTGGCATTTCAAAGTCATCGATGCTAAGCATTAGAAATGGCTATTAGAAAGCAAATTGATACAATTTTTTATTGATAAAGCTTTAGCTCATAAAGCCCGTAATAGCTACTATGCAGACTATCTGTATATATATCCAAAGATGTCTTCTCGATTCGTATTTGTAACAAATCAATGTTACGTCTCACCAATATCTGTGCAAGACTCAACGAAGAAGAGAGCTTTAAAGGGGGGGTCATGGCGGCAAGGTGAATGATGTAATTTAGCTTAAATAGGAGTCCTTTCCGTATTTATATTTCGTATGGATTAACGTCATTATGATTTTTACGAAGCCAATAAAGCACCAGCTTGCTATAAAGGTCTTAAAGACAGTTGCGTTGTTTCTTTACCAGAGGATGCCATTCCTACGATACTACAGAACTCTGTTAGGAGGTGCTTCGTTCTAGATACCCGTTCGAGTAAAATACCGTTACTGATCGTCTTTTCCTTTTAAAAGGCATTCGGTATACCTAAATTGACACCTTCTTTAGTCAGCCGAAACAAAAACAAATCGATTAGTGCTGCATCCATCAGGTTCCGTCAACAGAAGGCTATTGACGAAACAATACTCCTTAGATAGGAACAAAGGTGCACCAACGACATTGTATTAGGCCATCACCATCAGACAGTGGAACCATTTCTTTTACTTCTTTCTTCGTGATACGTAGACGTCGTTTGCGAAAGTACGTATATTAGTAAAACGAGAAACAATACGTCCATTTGAGAGTATCGGAAAAATATTAGACCTCAAGATGAGAATATCTTAGTGCATTACGCCTTACGTTAACTCTTAGCCGTATACTAAAATTGAGCTTTTTGTCTCAGTTCTAAAACAGAACCGGTGTCGCGGATTCTCGGTTCTGCGTCTTCCGATGTTTCTTACTAAAGCATATAGGATGCTTAAAATTGCAACAAGAGAACTCGAATTAAAGCAACTAATGAGATATGAAAATTTGTGTTACTTCCACTTTAGGTCATCTACTGCGTATCTATAGTAGCGTACTTGTTTACAATACAGGCCTACATAGGCAAAGTTATATACAAAACTGGCCA